GGATGCGGCATCTCCAGAAGAACAGTCCCAATTCGCGCTTCGACTCATCTAATTTCTGAATCAATTGGCTAAGATTGTTTGATAGCATATATTTATCCTCCTAGTCTGCTCCCAACCCACTCGAGCCCTTCGGTTCTCTTGCCGACTTGCCCCTCATTGTCACCAGCTTCGGATCACTCATCATCTCCGGAGCTCGATTTCTGTGATCCACGAAAGCTCACATATCCGTCACCCAATCCGTCCGCTTCTGACAAGGATTTGGAGTTTGCTACTCTTCCTTCCATTCGCGATGATGATGACGAACACAACTTCATGCTCGGTATGGGAAAGGACGATATTAAGACCGAGGGAAGGGATTTTGCCCACGGCTTCCTTGGTCTCGAGGAGCAACTCTCTGACTTCGAGTCTGATAACGAGCTTGTCTCCGGATTGATGAACATGCCACAGAACACCATCAACCCCGTCGATCTTCTCGGAAACAGGCGTCAGCGTGATGGCTTTGATGACGAGGAGGGCTGGGAGATGGATGACCTGAGCGATGATGAGAGCGTATCTGGTGATATTAACAGCCAGGAATTTCAAGCACCGTTGTCTCCTCCTCCATCTGATTCGTCTCGAGGAGGCTCCGCAATCCCTCCCACCAAGCAACGCAAGGTTCAGAGGAAGATCAAGGCTGAGACGTATGAAGACTCCGAAGCGGAGCTCGACGATATAATTGCCAACGCTCGAGCAAACGGGTACCCCGAAAGTACTTGCGATGGTGATTTCTTTTCGCACTCTAGCTGCCATGAATCATCAATCACACCTGCCCCAACCGAATCATCCTTCTACGAGTCTTCGGATTCGCAGGTAGTTTCCCCAGCACCCGTCGTCCGCCGTGGACGTAAGCAGTCTTTGACTGAGGATCCCTCAAAGACTTTTGTGTGCCACTTGTGCTCCCGCCGCTTCCGTCGACAGGAACACCTCAAGAGGCACTTCCGCTCTCTTCACACCAAGGATAAGCCCTTCTCTTGTGGCGAATGTGGCAAGAAATTCTCACGTTCTGATAACCTGAGCCAGCATGCACGAACTCACGGAAGTACCACCATTCACATGACCCTCATCGATGGTGACATGATGGGCGAGGATGATTCGGATGTGCTTTCAGAGCATAGCGAATCATTAGGCATTGTCCTTGTCAACGCAACCCAAGCCTCATCGGGGATCAAGGATAAGATTTCTTCCTCATCACCAGAGTCCAAGAAGAGCCGACGTAAGAGAAAGAGAGACGAGTAATGGTAACACGACGGATGCCTGGGCGTGTGGTTAGCATAGCGAAAACATTTGATTTTCGGGCGCTATTATTTCTATTGTTTTATTGTTTCCTTTTTATCCCTTCTTTTCTTCCACATTGAATTTTATTCGATTCCTTGTTACATGGTGATTGGGAGGTTTAGATACCAGGTGTATGGCGGCGGCAGGGGCTTGGGGTAGGCACAAAAGAAATTAATGCGGCGCTTATATTTGGGGATTGTGATTTGTCTTTTTTTCTTTTCACTTTTATTCTTATTCCCATTGCGTTCAATTCTCAGTAAGAGGAGGATCTCCGATTGAAAAAAGGAAGCTCACGAAAGTTGGACGCTACGACACGAGGAGATACGAAAAAAATCCATTCATCAACATTACTACTCTTAATAATTTCTGGGCCAGTACTTTCTTTTCGATTCGGAGCAACAAAAATGGTTCATAGGTGGGCGAGATATGGGGTTTTGGGGGTTTCATTTGGTTGGTAAAAAGAGCAAAAAGATGAGAGCCACCTGGGTTTTTCGAAGAGTCAATTTCCGATTTTCCTACAAATCGGCATTATCCTTTTGAGAGCAATGATGGAGGGGATGTCGTTATCCTATTAACTAACAAGCGCTCGTTACGTGAACATGATTTTACTCGATTGGGAACAAAAATGGGCAATAATAGGCTGACGGCATTCCCTATTCACTGCCTCTTGGACGCGGGTTTATTTGGGGGGTTGATCATTGCGCTCTATGATAACTTTTGGTACTCTTTTTTTGTTCGTCGGTTGGTTTTCATTGCATTTTTTTAGGGGGTTTTTCTTTTTTAACTGTCTTTTGGGTGGCATTTGAGAAACGTTGATATTCATTTATGTATTTTTTTTTCCTCCTTTCGCTTTACTTTTACTACTTTTTACTCTCTTGCCCTCGTTTTATGGCTGCATGGAGGTTTTGGTTTCAGGTTTTTTTCTTCTTTTCTTTCACCTTTCATGTTATTTCTTTTTTTCTTCTGGAATGGAGATGGAATGGAAGGAGGGCGATGGAGAATATTGTAGGATGGGATTGGTTTGCTTTTTACGGGGTTTTTTTTCTTTTCTTTTCTTTCACGTTTTATTCTTTACTTTTTTTTTTTTTTTACCTCTGTGCTGGGCACTAACTTCTCTCATTTCTATCTTGTATTCTTCTTTCTTCTTATTCTTACTCTTTAACAATTTTCTTGACTCCACATTCTACCTTACCTGCTAGCCATACCTATGCATGATAATAGTCTAGTCTAGTCTACTCCATGACAATTGTACTTGTACGAGAGAGAATACCGTACAATTATCTTTCCAATAATTCCACACATCTTATCCCATCACAAATTATCCACGTGAACCCGGTAGATGGATGATCAGAGCGCAGCGACTACAAATCACAAGGCCCCTCTCCTCCGCCCCCAAATGCATATCATAATATCATACATAACCCATCGCTTAAACCCCAAGCCAGCGCTAACCGTAGACTATCCCTACCATCATAGCGCGTTACACGGCAGTCAAACACAAGAAGCGTAAGCGCTAGGTCACCCACCCACCCACCTACCGTACTCGTACAGTGCTGTACTTACTGTACTCGAGTATTGTTGTACCCATGGGTGGAATCTCACCGAGGTGCTGCACGGATTGGTCTTGTTCGGGGCATGATTTGGCGGGTGGTGATGGGTTCTTTTGGGACTTTTTTTTTTTTTTTTTTTTTTGGTGGATGGTAAGGTATCATACCGGTATCATACTCGAGTGGAATAAGTAGGGTAGGGTGGGATTGCCTGCCATTCTTGGTGGATATGATGGGTAGGTATAACTCGTAGGTTACTGATATTTGGGTTAGGGTGGGTTTTGAAGAGATCTGTGCTCGTATCGTACGGTTACCGTATGTACAAGTATCATAATATTATCATATGATAACTCTATGAGTACGCTGGACTTAGCTATCATAAGCAACTAACTAACTATACGAGTACGAGTACTTACGGGTGTGTAAAAGGGGGAGACCCGATTGTGCTCCAGGTCATGTGTTATTTTATTCTTATTTTTATTGTTTTATTATTTTTTTTAAAATGGGTGCATTGCAGGGAAAACAAGGAAACTTAGTTTGCATAGCAACCAGGAGAATTTCGAGAAATAGGGAAAAATGTATTTTTGACACAGGAATTGAAATAGGACAACCGTCTATGGCATATATAGTCTGAGACTAAAGTATAATAATCTCTTTAGCTTTCTGTTTAATCCTATGCAAATATTTTGTATTTTAGTCAAGCTTAATGGGACTCATTCTTCTTCCTACCATGGGGCAACATTATCTTTTT